TAAGCCACCAACAGGTGTAACTCAGTTCAGGTACCTTCATGGTGCTAACAACCATAGCAGCAAGTGAGTCGTGGAAATAAAAATTTTTGCCTCCCATACCTTATGATAAAGAGGACTAGCTTAGATGACAGAAATGGGTGCAGAGTATCAATAGAAAATATTTAAGATAGGATTTCAAACATGATTCTGGATAAATAAGTATAAATATTCACTGAAGTACTTTCACTTAAGAAAGCTGACAATTATCAAACTCTTCCGATTGCTCTAAGTTCAGGTATATCACATCTCCTCATCTGTGGGGAAAGAACTGAGTCACTGACACTGAACCATATCTTAGTAGTCAGCTTCCCAGCATTCTAGGAAACCAAATTTCCAGAAAAAGTAAAGCTGTTGGGGCAGAAGGTAGGAACAACCTATTCAAGCAGTGTGACAGGGAAACCAGAGAAGAGTTGGTTGCCTGGGAAGAGAGCAGGACTGAAGAAAGTTTGTCATTTGGGAGATCTTTATAGTTCATGGCAATAAAACACAGAAGAAAGAGAAAGTGAAACTTCACAAGAGAAGAAAAAGGAAGAAAAGAGCTACCTGATGGGGCAGTGTTCTGCAGAAGAGAAGAGTAAAAGAAATGCCATTCAGAAATGGAGGGTTTAGTCTCAGAAAAGAGGAGGGCAGACTTCCATTATAGGTTAGTCCAGAAGTGACAGGTACCCTTGGAGTGAGCTTGCTTGATGATTTCTATTTTTCACTTTTGGTATTAAGGTCTATTATTGCCTGAGAATTTGAGGACACAGTGGAGGAAGAGAGTTTGAAAATCAAACACACACACACATCCACAAGTCATCTTTTCTATTACTGTTGGAGTCCACATTTTTGACTCTCACCTTATCTTGAATCCTGAGAAAATACTGTTTTGTAGTCCTATGATTCATCTTCAGTTTGACAATGTTTTTGAAAAAGCTTGCTCATCCAAGATATCCTTTGCATATCCTTATATTCTTCAACTCTCTTTTCTTCCACATGAATATCTTTGGGTATGTGCTTTCAGAATTTTGCTTTATGAAAGGGGTGTCTTCACTTTGGGATGCCTTTTTGTTAGACAGAGGCACATGGGATGTATCATTTCCAATTTGTTTCCGAAAATCTGTGTATATATCTGCTATTGCCCTCTGCCTTTTTCATCAGGCTTCTTGTACTTTCACTTCACTTTTACTTCCTTTCCGTTTAATTTCATTGTTTTATCATAATTAAAGTCAGAGGAGCAACTCCTCTTATTGTTCCTCTATCTACGACAAGATGAAAAAAAATTACCAAGGCAGACTTTGTAGAAGTTTTCTCATTTATACTTTGATCAAACTATAACTTCAGGCATATATTTAAACATCAAACTGTTTATCAGCGTTATTTATATAGTGCTGTTTATCACAATTATTTATATAGTGCTTTTTAAAGAAAGGAAAAGTGAGAATAATATTTGTAAATGTCCCGTGATTTATATCCATCAAGTTACCCTCACAGCAGCAATTTTAATGGTATTGTTATTATTAACATTTTGCATATAAAGAAACAGAGACCCAGTAAGTCTAACTTGCTCGGAGTCATACAGCAGCTCCATAGACTGTTCCTGTCTGACTCCTAGATTGTGACACCAGCTCCTTGCTGTTATACACAGCAGATACTTCTAAGCTGAACCTCCATATTGTGCCTATTACCTACTATTTGACTAAAACATTGATAGATGTCAATGGATAAGAAATAAATAGTAAGAGGATAGTTATCAGGGAAGGATAGCAAACACTCTGATGACTGACATTTACTAGGTGCTTAGTATATTTCAGGTTCTGGTTTAAGTGTTTAGCACTAATTGATCCTCATAGCATCCTGAGAAGCGATATTATTCTAATCTCCATTTTAGAGAGAAAAATACTAATGCTTGAAAAGGTTAAGAGATGTGTCCAAGGTTGCAGTTGACAAAAGTAACATGACCAGACTTTGGATCCATAGATTCTGGTGATATACATCTAAGCTCTTCATCCAACTGTATATTGGTACTAGCAGAGGTGAAAAGAAAAGTAAATAAACATGTTTGCATGATTGTTCTATTTATGTATTCAGTGATTGATGGCATTCATTAATTATTGAGATGGAAAATGCTGAGAAATAATTTAGAAAAATATGCTAACGATGGGAGCGTTGTGTTTGGAATTCAGCATCCACAAGCCCCCTTTGAAACACTGGGCTGTGTTTAATAACCTTTTACTATATGATCTTCTGTTTGCATACAACCAGTGAGGTTAGACATTTCAGGTTTGTGAAAGCCAGACTGAAAGTCTAAGTTTGATGTTGTAAGGAGGAGGAAGCTCCTGAATATCCTCCTCAGGGAAGTAATGTGATTAGAGTGGTGCTTTAGATTGATTTTGCATTTATGTGCCATATGGATAGAAATTTGGTGGAGTGTCCAATAGAAAAGGAAGCTGAGAGCCACTAATGGCATTACAAGTAGAAGCAGATAGGGCCTGAACTAGGGAATTAGCAGTGGAAGCAAGAAGGAAAAGATGAATGCAATAATTATAATGCAGGAAAGTGAAAATAACTTTGTGACTAATTTTGATTCATATCAGAGGTAGAATCAAGGATGAATGTTATTACAGAACAATTGAGAAAGTGCAGAGAAGAGAGATTTTGGATCGAGACATATCGGACACTGTTCACTTGGACATTTTCTGTTCCTTTGTAAACTGTCTTTAATTACTGAAATATTTAATTCATCATATATTTCCTGAGGACTGACTGTGTTCTAGTCACTTTTTTCAGTGATACATGTGTGGATGTATGTGTGTATAAATTCTGTACGTCAAATATTTTGTCCCCTTCTTCAAAAAAAATTCATAATTTGGTAGTCAGTAAGTGGCTGGACATATAAAATCAGAATATAAAAAAGAATGTTTAGGAAGATTCTAAAGCTACAAGTCATAAACATGCTTTTCTTTTTAGTCAGGTAACAGAAAGGAGAAGCCAAAAAAAATACATGTAAATGAAAAAACAGAATGAGAGTCAGCAGGTCTGAAAATAATCTATATGTCTAGAAAAAGATACCCTCTGGCTGATATTTTGGTGATGGTACTTTTGTGCTGAGAAATAAAGACTCTTATTTCGTGGTTGGTGTACAACTTAGCACATGGTGGCTACTTCTGCACTCAGGGTAAGAACCCAGAACCATGTACTCATGTAAGGTCAAAGGCTGGGGTGCAGAAGAATTACATCTCTGCCTCCTCTTCCAGTACTTAAAACCTTTCCTTTTGAAATGTATCGTCAAACTAAAGGTTACGATTGCCATGATATCCAACTTAGACCTAGTTGGTGTTAGAGAGTCACTCAGTGTGGGGTGAAGAATTGGAAGTTTTATTTAGAACAACCAATGTGCATGTATTTTTTTTCTCTGCAAACTTTAGATCAAACCTACAGATGAAAAGAACCTACAGTTATAACTTAGGAATTAAAGAAACATGAAAACTATGATAATGTTTGTATATGACAGCTTTAATAAATTATCAAGATAATTTAAAATGTTTATTTCCAGATAAGATTTTAATAGCAATATGACTTTGGAATGTGCCCGTATGCTGCACATTTAGTTCTAAACTTTAGAATTATAACATACTGCACTTCATAAAAATCTCCAAATATTTTACAATTACTAATTAGAGCTGAAATGTACACTGTTAGATTTCTTTACAATATTCATATCCAAAAGGCCATAAATCTGCCTTCTTGGTTCTTGCCCAGGACCATTTATAAGGCATATTTTTATGTGATCTACAGTGTTCTTTTTAACTATAGCAAATAAGGCACATTTGACTTTTGATAGCAATCAGAGATTTTCATATGAATGTTTGATTGTATCGGAACAGAAATTTACATTTACTGTATTGTTTTCTTTTCTTTCTTTTTCTTTTTATTTTGGATCATCCTATACCATTGTTACTTTATTTTCAATCAAGTATCTTTTTCTTTTTGTTTTTGTAAGGTTAATTCCAAACATGGAACTATGTATTTATTTATATATTTATATAATATATGCATATCATTTACATAAGTTATGTGTACATTTCCAATCTTTATGATTTTTTCAAATGTGAGAAAAGGAAAGATTGAGAGATCTTTAATGTTTAACATGCTTCTGATTATTCATGTTTCTCGAGCAGAGGTTTCATTGATTTTCCTCATCAAAACTCTTTTCTCTCTTACTCTCTTGTTGCCTTTTCAGCCTTTCAATTAATTCTTTATAAAGCTTTCTGTACTAGAAAATAAAATGAAGTTTCACCCAGGATATCTTCAGAGTTTGAAATAGTGTGAGTAATAGATTAATACAAATACACACAAGAGGAAGATTTTATAGCTGTTTTTTTAAATACGGGAATTAAAGCTTAAATGTCTCAACTAAAGATTTATTTTAATTAATTGATACATAAATGAAATTTTAGAACATAACTTACAGTTGTTTTTGGTTCATAATGACAATTTCTCTAAACTTAACACTTGCTGCCAAATTATTGATATAATTTAATGAACAAAAAGAAAATAATCTCACATTTTCACAAAAGATAATTATTTATGCTGATGATTAAATAAAGTCTCTATTTCTTCTTATATTTTAATTGTACTTACATTCTCCCTCTCACACACAAACACACACACACTGACTCATGAGCTTGTTTTGAATGCAAATAAAGCGCTATGTTGCATAGTAAAACAGAAGTCATATTATTCCCTCAATAAATGAAATTTGATATTGAATATTTTACTCTTTATTTGCTATGGTAATAAAGTGTCTACTTTCTTGCAGTCTGAAGAGATCATTCAGCGGTTTATGCAAGCTTTGTAATTCAAATATGCTAAGTGATGTAGGCAGAAGTTTTCCTTTGTTCCTGTTCCTCAGAGCACCGTCTTAATAGTGGCCATCCACGTTACCTGGGTTATAGTTCCTTTTTTTCGTTCCTTTGTAGATGTGCCATCCAGTCCCTACGGAGTGAAGATTATAGAGCTGTCACAGACCACAGCCAAGGTCTCTTTCAGCAAGCCGGACTCCCACGGAGGTGTGCCTATTCACCACTATCAGGTGGACGTCAAAGAAGTGTCGTCAGAAACCTGGAAAATAGTACGCTCCCATGGAGTTCAAAGTAAGTCAGTGATTCCAAAGTGCAGAGGCTAATTCAGCCTGATCTTCAATATACCTGGGTGATTAGCTTTTTATTTTCCTTCAACATGTGCTTTTTAAATTCTTTTAATAAGATAAAGTTGGGAAGACACTTCCACTGTCTGATTCTTGAGAATAGCTTTAATGAAGCATAGAAAAGTTCCCATCTTTAGTAAAGATTAAAGAGCTTAGCAAAATTACCAGAGTTTAATTCCATGGAGGAAAAAAGTTAGTATTTAAAACTTCCGTGTTGGAAAATAAATTGCTGACATATTACATTTGATGGCTGAATGTTGTCAAATGTGCGTTTGGTTTTCGTTTTTCACTTATTAATAGTAGTTCTTTCGTAAGGATGTATGAAAATCATAATGTAAAATGTAGATGTCTTGTGTATGTATTTATGAAGCCATCTATAAAAATTGACCTTGCACACCAAATTTACTTCACAATTGTGTTTTGAAAACTCAAAATTTTACAACGAATCATGGCATTTTGAATGATAGAATTAGCTAATTCTGAGAAGTTTAAACAGTTTACAACACTTCTTTTCACTCATGTGGAACTTCATCATATTGTAAAAATGTGATTTGTTTTTCCCATTATTAGGAGAAGAAACTAAATTAGGGAATAATAATAAATTACCAGATTTTTATTCTGTTAGTTGTGACAGAACTACATTGAGTGGCCCAAAAAGACAGTATGAAATAGTGAAAGAAGTATTACCGCATAGTTTCCCTGCTCTGAGGTTCTGCCTTGACCCTAACATATGTGGTGTAAGGGTTCTAAAAACAGTATGAGCCCTCCTGTGAAGAACTGTCCTAGTGGACAATGGAGACAGAACAGGTAGAATCATTCTAATCACCTGTGTTGGCACCTGCTTGTTCAGTTTTGACTGAGAGTAACTATAGGTTTTTGAGAGAAATGTCAGAAATATGATCAATCATCAGTCATCTACCATGTTCTCCAAATAATGCCCCCAAACAGGTCAGCTCTTATCATTTCTTTTAATGATGAGAGATAGTTAATGTTCTCTGTGCACATGCTATATCATGCAGGAGAGAAGACTTATAAAGATCACCCACAAAAGAGTAATGAGTGAGTTCAACTCTAGTAAAACAAATGATTATCCTAGATGCAGGCATATTTTTTTAAGAGAGAGAAGATGAGAGGGTGAAAAGTGAGAGAAAGAGAAAATAAAGTCTTTCTGACACTACAGAACACTCAGAGTGGGTATTCAAGCACAAACATGAAGAAGAGAAGTATGAAGTCTGAACATCGCAGAAATCACACTTGGCAGAATGGTACTGCCATACCCCACCCCTCCACGCTGGGTGAGAGGGAGAAGGTGAATGTGTTTTCCTGAGACTTCGTACAAAGTTGCAACACCAGGGAGGATTTATAATGGCCTTGGACTGGTCAAGTTCTTCAGGTTCAAAAATGTGATTTTGTGCCCATGTATACATCTCTCAGAAGCAGATTTCCATGATTATAAAAGTGATACATAATAACAAAGAACATTTGTTAATTTATAATGAGAAATCACCGTCCCAAAAATGAGGCATTCATTTTTGAATTTCTTTGTATTTGAATGAGACTTTCTGGAGTCTACATGGTAAGTACATTTTTATCTGTATGTATATTATGTGGGAAAGAAATTGTGAGTCAGAAACTTGTTTGGTGAGTCTCTAATGTCAGTAAGCAAAGTCACATGAATATGACATTTAGTGGCTTCAGACTGGGACAGCTTAAAGCTTGCCAAATAGACCAAAATACTTAAAGTCCTGTGGTTGGAGCTTTCTCCCCTTTACATGAGGAAAATATCTGCACTGAAACTTTTTTTTTCTTTTCCTTGACTTACTCTTCTTTCATAGATATGTTAATGAGTTCCCTGAATCAGATTACAATTATGCAGCCAGACTACTGCATGATATCAACTCAGTGTAGTACAAACGTGATTTTATTAATCCAGTGACTGGTTTTACTCATTTTTTGAATCTCATTTTCTGTTACTTAATATCTTTAGCAAACACTATAAATTTATGGTCACCTTCAAGTACAAATACATTCAGTTAAGTTCTGTTCAGTTTAAAACTTATAAAGTCCAATAACCTTTAATGAAAAAGAATATGAAAACAAATATATGTATGTACATGCATGACTGGGACATTGTGCTGTACAGCAGAAATTGACACATTGTAACTGATGACACTTCAATAAAAAAATAAATTAAATTAAAAAATGAAAAACTTACAAAGTCCAATTTTTATCTCTCCCGTTTTCTCTGAACCACATCCTGGGGAGCTGAGAGTGGGAAAGTGGCATGAACTACATCTTCTCTTGGAAAGAGTCAGATACCTCTCATTTTTCTGGTGCTGTCATCTTCCTTGGGCTGTCCCTGCCTTGTGTGCTCTCTGTGGGACAGATGTCAAAGTAGCTGCCCTCTGGAGATGCATGTGTGGAGTGCAAGCACATCCGATTTTTTGGAGAGACAGTTTCCTGGGATGGAACACTGCACAGTTGACCTCCTCACCCTTGCCTTGGTAGGTTTTGCTTTGCATTTATGTTTTTCTCTTAATTACATATTTACATTCTTGCCCATTATCCAAACATTAGGGCTATGGAGAGGAACACTTAAGACTTGACTTTTTATGAAATGAAATCACCTTGTCGTTAAGTGTTCCACTGCATAGCCCTAGTAATTGGATGATGGGCATGAATGTAAATATCTAACTAAGAGAAAAACATAAATGCAAAACTCGGTCAGGTGACAAGCTGGGTAACCCCATTGGGACCAATCCTAACACTTTAGAATGTGTTTCTGGCATTTGTTCTTCCTTTGTCAAAGAGATGTACCATTTTTTAAAGATATTGTATAGATATTTACCAGAATAACAAATGCTTTATGCTGACAGATGTATGAAATGTGGAATAATCTTAATTAGGTTTACTATAAAATGTACATCAATAATTTGACTATTAGATAAATAACAATAGTTTTTAAATTTTTTTATTAAAGCACAGTGAGTTTGCAATATTGTGTCAATTTCTGGTGTACATCATAATAGTTCAGTCATGTGTATACATACATATATTTTTTTCATATTCTTTTTCATTAGAGGTTACTACAAGATATTGAATATAATTCCCTGTGCTATACAGCATGAACTTGTTGTTGATCTATTTTATATATAGTAGTTAGTATCTGCAAATCTCAAATTCCCAATTTATCCCTTCCCATCCCCATCCCTCCCTGGTAACCATAAGTTTGTTTTCTATGTGTGTGAGTCTGTTTCTGTTTTGTAAAGAAGATCATCTTTTTTTTTCTTTTTTTTTTAGATTTCACATCTAAGTGATAATATATGGAGTTTTTCTTTCTCCTTCTGGCCTGCTTCTCTTAGAATGACAATCTCCATGTCCATCCATGTTGCTTCATATAGCATTATTTTAATTATTTTTTATGGCTGAGTAATATTCCATTGTATAAATATACCATAACTTCTTTATCCAGGCATCGGTCAATGGACATTTAGGTTGTTTCCATGTCTTGACTATTGTAAATACTGCTGCTGTGAACATTGGGGTGCATGACTATTTAAAAATTAGTGTTCCCTCTGGATATCCGTAGTATCAGTATTCTCTGTTTTACAGAGGATGAAGCTGAGGACAATTCATATAAAGGAGAAAACTGAGACTGTAAAGTGTAATGTCTTATTTCTAAGGTCATATGGATAAGTAATAATGAAACTAAAATTCAAACCCAGACAAGAAATCTGATTCCAAAGACTGTACTATTAATTATTATGTACTTTTTATCTTCTATTCAGTTAAGAGTTTGGAAAGGGGAACACAAGTTATTGCCTTATAGAGCTAGACTAAGACACACACACACACACATATAAAATGCATAATGTGTATGTGTAATGCATAATGTTTAGTGTGTGTGTGCCTCTGTCTGTGTGCCTATTTCAGTGTGTTTTAGATAGTTAGTGGGAGGCAGTTGTATAGAGAATTTACGGAAAAATTTTCCTGACCAAGTTAAATATGAATTAGAACATTGAAATATCACTGTTATTTGAAACTTTCTTATTAGAAAAGAAGAAAGCTGAGAGGGAAGGGAAGAGAAAGGAGGGAGGGAGGAAGGAAGGAAGAACAAGGAAGGCATTTTAAACATGTTTATTCGTTCCACTCCATATATGGATGGTTGACTAGACTACAGCATGACATGGAACATGTATGATGACCATTGTGTGTATGTGAATTGTGAGATTACATGATATAATCGTTGGCAATTTCAAAAGGACCACAACTGAAAGAAAAATTATGACATAATAGGTTCATTCCATTGTGCTTCAATGCATTATGAAGACATAAGAATCAGGTTTATTCACTAAAAACATCATTATAAGGAAGCTAAAGAATGTGGCCCAAGTACGCAGCTTATTTAGCTTGATTCAAGGGTGAAAGTTAGATGATACGGAGCAGAAGACAGGCTTGAGAGATAGTGAGCATCTCAAAAATTGTACTCAACTTTGTCATTGTCTGTATATACATATTCTAGAGAGGAGATCCATAGCATTCATTCATGTCCCCAAAGATTTATCATAAAAATGTCTTTACTTTAAATTTGTTTTAAAATTTTAGTTTAGCTGAATGTACAATTCAAACTTTATAGTTACTTCCCTTTGGTAATCTAAGAACATTTTACTCTCTTCTGGCTTCCATTGCTACTATTTTGAAGTCTGCTGTGAGTTATAATTTTTTGTAAATATTACATATCTTAATGTGGATTTCTATATTTGCCGTACTTGGGTTTCAGTTTGATTTCTGAATCTGAAGACCCATATCTTTCATCAGTTCTGGGAATGTTATACCATTACCTTCTTGAATATTGTCTCTTCTCCCATTCTCTCTATCCCTTTATTCTGAAAGTCTGTGTCACGTGCCAATCTTGTTATTTAAGAACTTAGAATATATCTCTTACAA